AGTTTCCATTCTTTTTTTTTTTTGTGAATATACTGTAGAGGGGTTACAATTACATGGGCAAGATAATGACTACATTTCTTACCAAGCATTATAGCCTCCTTCTTTGTTTCCCCTTCCCATCCCTTCCTATCCTCTCCTCCCCCCCCCCCCCCCCCCCCCCCCCCCCGCACCAAAGTTGTAAAGTTGGTTTTCAACATAACTTGTACATCTCATTGTTGCAATGGGTCCACCTGTATCCCTATTTAAACGATTTGTTTTTCCCCTCCACAAATTATACTGACATCAAATACAGTGAAAGCAGGGGTTATACTGTCCCTATGGGGGAGGGACATACAAAGCAACAAAGAAATAACCTTATAAATGTGTTAGAAACAATCGCATGAAAGAAAAAAAAACATTTGAATACATATCTTAGAGTTCATTTCCCTAACATCACCTTGACCTTTTCTGCTTTACTCAGACATATACTTGATATTGCAAATAAGGGAAACCATGGGCCAAATGTTTACAAACAAGACCATACTAAAGCTACCAACACAACTATGTTTATTGCAGCATTATTTACCATAGCTAAGATCTGGAACCAACCCAGATGTCTCTCAGCAGATGAATGGATCAAGAAAATGTGGTATATATACACAATGGAATTCTATGCCTCCATCAGAAAGAATGACATTGCCCCATTTGTTGGGAAATGGAAAAGCTTGGATAAAATTATATTAAGTGAAGTAAGCCAGGCCCAAAGAAACATAGGTCCCATGGTTTCCCTTATTTGCAATATCTTTTTTTTTTTTTTTTGCCGGTCATGGGGCTTTAACTCTGGGCCTCAGCTGTCCCTCAGCTCTTCAGCTCAAGGCTAGTGTTCTACCACTTGAGACACTGTACTACTTCCGGTTTTCTGAGCGGTTTATTGGAGATAAGAATCTCATGGACTTTCCTGCCTGGGCTGGGTTGAATTGCCATCCTCAGACCTCAGCCTCCTGAGTAGCTAGGATTACAGGAATGAGCCACTGGTGCCTAGCTTTCCATTATTTTTTTTTAAGTAGAAGTTATTCAAATAGATTATGGAAAGTTGATTATAAGAACTTTTCATTGCTATAATAATTTATTATTTTACTTTTAAAATAATAAATGACATGAAATTCAGTAATTTATTTTTTCAAAGATGTTTGAATTCAGTTATTAATGGTCAAGAAATATTGTTGAGTGTTGGTGGCCCCCACCTACAGTCCTTGCTACTCAAGCCCATCAAATCTCTATTTGAAACCAGCCAGGGCAGAAAAGTCTGTTAGACTGCCTCTATAAAATAACTAGGAAAAAGCAAGTCGTAAGCTGTGGCTCACATAGTAAAGTATCAGCCAAGCAAGCAGGCCCAGCAAGTGTGAGACCCTGAGTTCAAACCTCAGTACTGGAACCAAACAAAACAACAAAAATACCCTCTGCCACCCCAAAAGAAATACTGGTGATAGCACTGGGCATGTATATTATGAGAAAATGGAAATGGAAAAGAATGAAAATGGACAGACATCTTTAAATCACAAGTAGGTTAAACACTCAATAGATGAATCTAACTTCTAAACTTTGTAACCTAATTATAATCAGGATGAAAGGAATACTTGTTTTTTTTTTTAAGATTTTGTTATACTGTCCAGTTCTGGTCTCAAATGCATGAGTTTAAGTAGTCCTTTCACCTCATCCCCTTGAGTAGGTTTTACACGTGGGAGTTATGTCCATGTGTAAATTATGAATCCTTAAAAAAATTTTTTCTTTCCTAAAACAGCTCTCCAACAACCTCCTCTCCCATTTTGTCATGGTTTTAAGGCATCTTAGGGTCAGCAAAAGAAAGGTAAATGATAAAAAAAAAATAAAGAGAATCCTAGAATTGGTTATATTCCAAAATAAAATTTCAATTTCATTAATTTTTAAAAAGCACATTGCTATAGCTATTGTTGAGATTTAGTAGCTATATAATGACATAGTCATTGTTCTATAGGAATTTGAAATTTTGCTGGAGAGCCAAAATTAATAAATATTCTGTATAAATCCATAAAATATATTTTTAAAAGGTTATGTAATGTGCTGTAGAACTTCAAATGTCATCAAAAGGGAAGATAAGCAAACAATATATAAAATGTGTAAAATGCTTCTTTCCTGTCATGGGAAGGCTACTTAGAAGAGGTATGATATGAGCTGTGTGTTTTATGCTTTGGGTTGTGCTTTGGGTAAAGCTCCCCCCCCCCTCCACGCCCCCCCTCCTGAGAAATTGGGTAGATTGTTCAGGAAGTGCTAGGTTTAGGCCATTAATCTAGATTTATTCCTTAGAGATTTTTAGAAAGAGGGCAGACATTGGTTATGCAAACAGAAACTAGAATAAACATAGAATGTTTTTATTTTATTTAAAAACATGGAACGCTTCACGAATTTGCGTGTCATCCTTGCGCAGGGGCCATGCTAATCTTCTCTGTATCGTTCCAATTTTAGTATATGTGTTGCCGAAGCGAACACTAACATAGAATGTTTTTATGTATTCACATCTATCTCTAGGTGCCCAACTACGAGAAACTTTCAGCCATCTTTGTATTATTCTTTTAAGTGTAGAGATTTTTGTTTGTTCCAAAGTAATTTAAATATACTGAGATTAAGAAATACACAAAATGGGCTGTCATTTTTTTTCTAGAACAGAAAGCACTTTTTGCATCATATCTTTGTTTTTGCTTTATCCATTCAGGAAGGCAGAAGCAGAGTATTATGATTTTTTTCAGTAGTGGGGTTGGGTGATAGACTGAGGGTCACTTGGCCCATTTGTATTTTTTACTATACAAGTCTTACAGGGCTAATTACTATGTAAACAAAGCAAAGAAAATGAGCTTCTGATACTGATTTTTTAAACCCTAGTGGTAGTACATGGTAATGCATTAGTTACTTTTAGCTCTTTGGTGAAGAAATTTTGCACAAGAAATTTTCCAACCATAATCTAAAATAAGGCAGAAGTAATAGTTTTATTTCAAGTATCCTTTAAAATGAAATTCCTAGTAATATGTGTGTCATCCTTATGTTTGGTGATTGAATTGTTCTTATATTTTGTTAAAAATTCTTGCAAATAAGGGGAAGTAAAAGTTGACATTGTAGTTCTGACATTCATTTGTACAAATGTTCATGTTTTTGGTTAGCACTTTTAAAAGTACTATCTAGGAAATCTTAGTTTTCATAAAAGAGAATATAGCCATTAATTTTTTTCTACAGATTAGGCAACAGAAGATTTGTGAAAACAAAATGTATTGATCTCATTAATATTCCCTTGATGAAGGAACACATGCTGGTCTCTGCTCGCTTTCTGTCCACTAATATGAAATCCTTGTCCCTGCTTCCTTGCTGGTAGGTTTTTAGAAGTTCAGTGAGCAATGTAAATGGCCTGAAGGGTGGAAAATTCCCTTGTCACACAGATGCCCTTATCAGAAGCAAGCAGATGGAGCTCTAAGCAGGAACATTATCAGTGTTAAATTGCTTTTACTCCCCCTGAGAAGAGAAGATTAAAGTATTCCTTTAGAAATAGGTAGCAAATGTACAGACTTAGGAATACTAATATTTTCAAAAGTAAATATGAAAATATTTCAGGAATGCTTTATTTTCAAAACACATCCAAAACTAGTTTAAAATATGTTTTAAATAAATACGATAGTCTCGAATTTCCTTATAAAGAATACTCTTGAAACTACTGTTTTTGGTTTTGTCAGAGAATTCATGCTATTACTGTTGTTTATTAGCATACATCAGCTATACGAGCACAGATTTCATTGTAACATTGCCTAGCATGTATACAGTCACTCTAATCAGTCCTCTTGCCCCCATCATTCTCCCTTATATGCCTTTGTTTTTTGTTAAAAAGGGGCAGATATCTATCTCAATGTCTATCTCATAACTAGTAACAAATGTGTATCTTGGGCATAAACTAGTTAATTCAGTTTCAGTTGTTAAAAATAATGATATTTTAGTTGATGAAGATGACAGTTTAAATTGTAACAGAATTTTTTATTTGGCACAATAGTTCTTTTACTGTTTTCTTATTAAATATTTAGAGTCCTTATTAGTTTACCTTTTGAAATGTTAATTATTACCATCCTGTAAGTCAATGATTGCAACTTCATACAATCTTAAAATTTCAATCTTTATGAATACTACTGTTTAGCAACTATATTTACATAGTATATTTTAATAAGACTGTAACTGTAGATGTCCATAAAAGAGACTATTAATAATGTATTGTTCATGTCACTTTGATGTTAGTGGTTTTCTTTCTTTTCCTTTTTTTTTTTGCCAGTCCTAGGGCTTGAACTCTGGGCTTGAGTTTAGTCCCTAAGCTTCTTTTGCTCTAGGTGAGTGCTCTACCACTTGAGCCACAACACTACTTTGGGTTTTGTTGGAGTAGTTTATTGGAGATAAGAGTCTCACAGAATTTCCTGCCCAGGCTGGCTTTGAACCACAATCCTTAGATCTTATTTACCCTTCTGAGTAGTTCGGATTATAGGCATGAGCCACCAGTGCCCGGCAGTGGTTTTCTTTCTTAATATTGATTTCCAGTTACTACCTGAGCTCCAATGAGTGGTAACCATTTCTCTGATAGAAAAAAATGATACATCTTTGTGTTTTTATGGCAGTATCTACCAACTCAGTGGCTGACAGTTGAAGTACGTATTCTTTCATCAGATTTATGTGCAGGTTGATGAACTATTCTGTATTTTTAAAAAATAACATAAGGCCTAGTGTTTTGTATCTGCCAAGAGTTGGGACTTTGCTACAATTGCATGGTAATATGAACAAATTTTTGCAGGTATAAATATGAGTAAGGCTGGAAAATTATTCCTCTTATTTCTAAATATCAGGTAAAATAAGATGATTATTGATACTACATAAACTGCTTTTGGTTTAGATATGTTAGTAAAGCAATTTAAAAAGTATTTCTTTAGTCTAACAATAGATATGTTGTAATGTTTTACCTGCAGAACTAATTTGGAACTGGAATTGATTCATCGAGGAGGCAATCTATGTTCAGGTGGTGCAAGCACAGCTGGCAAAAGGTCTTGTTTGAGTAAGTATTAAATAGTGCTAAATTTTAGAAAATTTTTATTCATCTCATTTTGGAAGCATATATAGACAAAATGGTCTTTCAGTGTATTTTCAAATTTTGTTACATAAAGTTTTCATAGCAACATATATTTTAAATGGCTGCACTTATATTTAGAAAAAATGTGATTATTCAGCTCTTTTGTTACAGTGTATTTTGAGGTATAAAAATTTATCAATTTGTTTAAAAGGATATTTACATTGAGTTGATTTAAGGAAAATTTTTTTTATAAAGGTCATTAATATTGCCTACAAATGCCTACTGTATTGATGCTATTAATAAAGATTGTGTTGTGCTTTGATAAGTCTAATTGAAATTCATTAAAATTGTAGGTATTTTTTACATATACTTTATATTATAAAATAAGCACATTTCTTTAAACTGTTTATAAAGTATAGTTTGGAGAGTGTGATTTCTGTAGCAGTGAAAAGAAAGTATTACCTAATTTACCTTAAAATACAAGTAGAACAATGGTTTTCAGTATGTACATCTTTCAACAAATTTTATATATATATATATTTTTATATAGGTAAGTTACCATTGTTGAATCATGACTAAAAAACACATTCCTAAGTATAGATATGAGAAATTTTATGCAGCTAAAAATGAGTACATTTACTTTGCATAGTATCATAGTAAAGTATTTTAATACCTTATTTATAGTTTGAAAATTTATAAAATACTTTCACATAAATGATTTAATCTTTAAAATGACCATGTGAAATAGGTGGAAAATGTCAGAAGTTGCTCTTGAATGTAACTCCTCTGACTCTAAATTCAGTTATATAAGATGTATACCCAGTCTTAAGTGTCCCAAAGGGACAGAACTTTTATGGCCATGAGCTTAGTTAAAGATATTTTACTACATACTGTTCCCTCAGAATAGTTCCATTAATCCTATAACTCCTTTTTTTTGTTGTTGTTGTTGGTTGTGGGGCTTGAACTTTGCGCCTGAGCGCTGTCCCTCAGCTCTTCAGCTCAAGGCGAGCACTTGAGCCACAGCGCCAATTCTGGTTTTCTGGTGGTTAATTGGCATTTCATGGACTTTCCTGCTTGGGCTGTCTTTGAACCATGATCCTCAGATCTCAGCCTCCTGAGTAGCTAGGATTACAGGCATGAACCACCAGCACCTGGATGAATCCTATTATTCTTTTAAGCCATTCCTTCAGACATGTTCTCAAGTCCTTTGGGTGCAAGTTCTAGTTTATTTCTCACCACTTTGCTAGCTGATTCCCTTTGGTTCTGCTGAGAGCTGTTTTTGTGAACTTCTATTTATAGCACTGCTCTTGATTCCTGGATCAAAACTCTAAATTCCTTAACAGGCAATGTTAAGCATTTATTACCTTGATTTAGCAGATAATGCTGCTTCTAGATGATTAGTTTTAAGATAGAAGGTGTGCTGTGCATGGATAACACAATCGGTGATTTGGAAATTTGGGTTCATATCTATCTAACAGAGTCAGTGAGACTTTTGGTAGACATGATATTTCAATAAGACTTCGAAAGATAGGTGAGAGAATTTAAAATTGCCAATTGATATGTATTCAGACAGATGTTATTAGCTTGGTTAGTAACAGATGTAGGTCCAAGCTAATATAAAAAACTTAATACTTTATTAAGCTTATTTTGTTTATTCAAGTGATAGGTTCTGGTGAAGTTAGACATTTTTACGAGTTTTTTGCTATTCTTAACATATTTCTCAAGTAGGAGACTATTGGGTGTAATAACCACTGGGTGTTATTAATATTGGAGCATAATATGAAAATATTTATTTATGTTGGTCATAGGCTTGAACTCTGGGCCTGGGCACTGACCCTCAGCAATTCAGCTCCAGGTTAGTGCTCAACCACTTAAGCCACAGTGCCACTTCTGGTTTTCTATTGGCTAATTGGAGATGAGTCTCATGGACTTTGGCTGGCTTTGAACCATAGTCCTCAGATCTCAGCCTCCTGAATAGCTAGGATTACAGGTGTGAGACACTGGCGCCTGGCTGAAAATATTTATTTTTAAATAAAGCATCTTTTCATATCTTCAAGTCTGAGATTTTCTACTTACTGTTATTTAAGAACTCAAAATATGCCTCTAAGATAAACACTATGATGTTGGTGATTATTGTTTTTGTGCTGGTGCTGGGGCTTAAACTCATAGCCTGGTGTTGTCCCTGAGTATTTTTTGCTTAAGTCTAGAACTCTACCACTTGAGCCACAGCAGCTCCACTTCCAGCTTTTTAGTAGTTAATTGGAGATAAGAGTCTCAATAGGGGCGCCGGTGGCTCACGCCTGTTATCCTGGTTACTCCGAGGATCACAGTTCAAAGCCAGCCCGGGCAAGAAAGTCCTTGAAACTCTTATCTCCAATAAACCACCAGAAAACCGGAAGTGTTCTGTAGCTCAAGTGGTAGAGTGCTAGACTTGAGCTGAACAGCTGAGAGACAGCACTCAGGCCCAGAGTTCAAGCCCCACAACCGACCAAAAAAAAAAAAGAGTCTCATAGATTTTCCTGCCTGGGCTGGCTTTGAACACTTGCTCCTCAGAGCTCAGCCTCCTGAGTCATTATGATTACAGGCATGAACCACCAGCATCTGGCTTAAAGTATGAACTTTTTTTGGGGCGGGAGGGAATCAGTCATGGGGCCTTAACTCTGGGCCTGGGCACTGTCCCTCAGCTTTTCAGCTCAAAGCTAGTGCTCTACCACTTGAACCACAGCACCACTTCCGGCTTTTTCTGCTTATGTGGTGCTGAGGAATTGAACCCAGGGCCTCATGCATGCAAGGTAAATATTGTACCACTGAATCACCTTCCCAGCCCAAGAATGAACTTTTGATAAATATAGAACTATAGAAAAATTATTTTGGTATTAATCTCTCTTTTGATAAGGTTGCAAAAGATGTTATTGAATAAATGATGAATTTTCCAAGAATCACCATTAAGTAGTTGGCCTGTAACAGCTAGCACTAAAATGATGAATTCTTTGCATAGATTAAGTCATGAATTTTGTTTTTTGTTTTTCATTGTTGTTACTACATGAAAGGAAAATTTGGTCATCAAATTACTATGATTTACTGATGCCAATATTAGTATCTGTGAAAATTGAAGCAATCAGGAAACAGTGGCCTTATTTGCTGGAAGTTGGATGCATAGCAAGCCGGAGAGAACACAGCATTAGAAACAGGAAAATACTAAAGACAGCCAGAAAGAACAGTGGTTTGGTGTTGGAAGATCTGGTCTCTATATCTATTTGTTGGACTTTAGGAAAGTCATCTTTTTTACCTTATTGGAGAAGTAGATATAATGATACCTATTTTGACCTTCTTTTATATTCATCATATTTTATGTAAAGCTTAAATAGTATTAGATTATGGGGAGTAAAGATTGTTTATTTATTTATTTTTGTCGGTCATGGGGCCTGAGCTCTGGGCCTCGACACTATCCCTCAGCTCTTCAGCTCAAGGTTAGCGCTCTACCACTTGAGCCATAGCACCACTTCTGGCTTTTTCTGCTTATGTGGTGCTGAGGAATTGAACCCAAAGCCTCATGCATGCAAGACAAGCACTCTACCACTGAATCACCTTCCATGCTTGTTATATATAATATGTTAGTAGATAATAATTATTAACCTTGTTCATTAACCCTTTAAAATTCTACCATAACTGCCAATTTATACTCCTGCCCTTTCTTGTCTGGTGTGATTAGGAACAGGACAGGGAAAGGTGAGTTAGCTCTTGTTATCAACTGTCTGTCTCTCTCTTTTTCTTTTAAATTACAGATAATACTAAGAATAGGTAATCGTGATTAGGGACACATGACCAGTTCAGGACTTCCTAGCTTCTACCAGACAGTGGTACTTCTTGTATATATAAGTTAACTTAGTAATGTCATTTCCAACTCTTTTTATGAATTAAATCAAATTTAGCAATTTTAAAATGTTACCCTAAAAAAGGAGCTAATTACTTATTTTGCTTTTGTCTTTAAAATATTAATAGTTTTCTTGATATAATTACTTTTTAGTTTTTTGGCCTTGATATAAGCTCTTTCCTTCTGTATGTCTAAGGTATTAGGGATTTTGTATAAGTGTAAAAAAAAGTTTTAATAGTTACCTGGTTTTCTATTGAAGTTATTTGCATTTCAATATTCTTTTCTTGTTTTTTAGTATTGTTTTAAAAAGGTAGACTATACCATATCAGTTGTGATATTATTTAGTTCTAGTTGAAGTCAATATTGAAGTCTCTTGTGATAAAGTGTAGCTTTTAGGATATGACCCAGGGTTATAAATGTCAATTTTCATAGGAATGGGAAGAGTTATGTATGTGTGGTTTGTTAAGAAAATAAAATTTGTGCTTTCAATCATAAAGATCCTAAGAAAAAGTTGGGAGAAATAACTAGGAAGTAGCAAATGATCCTATTTTTCATTTATACCTTTTTATATGTTGAATTCTTAACGATATAGGTTAAGAAAATAGAATAATTAGCATTATTTCTGTGATGACTATCCTGGTTTCAATGTAAAATAGGTTAATGTAATGGGAACTTCCAAGCTTTTTTTTCTTTTTAAAAGTATTTTTTTATTACAAAGATACTGTACAAAGGGATTACAGTTACATGAGTATGGTAATGAGTGAGTACATTTCCTATCAAGCATTGTTACTTCCTCCTTTGTTTTTCCCCTACCATCCCTCCAAGCTTTTGATTAATCAGGAAGAATATGATAATTGTTTTATTCTTGAAAATGATATTATAAAGATCTTTTTGATCCTGTTAGCACTGCAAAAGAATGCAAAACTTCCCTCTCTTGCAACAAGAGATAATGTTTTTCTACTGGAAGAGATTAGCCTTTTAAAGACTTTCAGGTTTTAGTCTTTAAATCCTTTTTTTGAGGTGATAAACTTTGTACTTAGTAAATAAAGTTTCTTATGTGTGATTGAACTGAAATAAAATAACCATTACTATTGTGTCTCTCATCATGTAGCCCCTTTGCTAAAACTTGCCTTGTTCTCCATATAATCTATGGAACTTGGTTACTGTGTAGAAGAAATGAAAGTTGATTAATATGCATATTTAAAAAATGAGAAAGTGGGGGTGGCGGAGAGGATTGGGTGGGAGGCGGGGGAAGGATGTTAATGGATGGGAAAGGGAAACAAAAGAGGAAGCTACAATGCTTGATAAGAAATGTACTCATTATCTTGCCCATGAAATTGTAACCCCTCTGTACATTATTTTTACAATAAAAAATAAAAATAAATGAGAAAGAGTCAGATGCTGGTAGCTCATACTTGTATTTCTAGCTACTCAGGAGGTTGATATACAGAGTATCTTGGTTTCCAGGCAGCCTAGGCAGAAAAGTCTGTAAGACTCTATCTTCAAAATAACTAGCCAAAAGCTAGTTGGAGATATGGCTCAATTGGTTAAGCACCAGTCAAACAATTGATATCAGATATCAAATCCTAGAACTGGCAAAAAAGAAGAAAGAAGACTGGAAGGTAGAGGTAGAAATAATATCTACCTATTACTCAATTGAGATAATGCAAAGTGGCTATTAACATAGCCTTTGGAATGTAGTAAGTAACCAAGTATTAGTCATTTAACAAGCTGAAAAAATTTAGCATAGGATTTAAGTTCTGCAGTTACTCATAAATAAGAGGTAAAATAGGAGAGATCAGATTTTAAAATGTGGGGCTGGAGGTGTGACTTGGTAAAGCACCAGCCAATGAGCTAAGTGTCAGGTACCAAGTTTGAGATCCAGTCTCACAACAACAGAGCAGGTTTAAAAATATATTTTTTTCCTGTGGTACCCCTTAGAAAGAATGGTCTTTCCTGCCCTGAGAGGGAATAGAACTCTGGGCCTCATTCTTACTTGTAGAAATACTCTACTACTGGAGCTGTTCCTAAGGTCCTTTTGCGTTTTAGTTTGATTTTTAGAAATCTCTCCCCTACCATTGCCTTCCAGGTAACTGAAATGTTAGATGTGTACCATATACTGGCTTGTTTTGGAGATAGGGTATCCCCAACCTTTGCCTAAACCTTGATTCTGCCATCTGTGCCTCCTGAGTAAACTGGGATTACCTACCTGACCCTTTGCTCATATTCTGGCTTTTTGTTAAGACAATGGTTTCCTCAAATTACTGTATTTACCTCCCCAAGAGCTATATTGATGGATCTGGGTTAAATTAATCATAAAGAAGATTTAATAAGTCATTTGCTCAGTGAAATAAAATTTGGTTTAGTTTTTTTTTTTTTTGGGTCCAGTTGTGGGGCCTAAACTCTGGGCCTGGGCACTGTCCCTCAGCTCTTCAGCTCAAGGCTAGCGCTCTACCGCTTGAGCCACAGTGCCACTTCTGGCTTTTTTCTTTTT